GTTATCCATGTAATATATGGCAATATCATCCGCGTACATTAGTATTTTCATATGCTCTGGAAGGCAAGAATGAGCCAATGCTACGTATATATTGAACAGAGTAGGACTGAGAATGGAACCCTGTGGCAATCCTCGGTCGGTACTTCTAGTCTGAAGAGGGATACCAGCTGCGTATCCTGTAAGGTTTCGGTTGGTGGTGGTTTTCCTGATAAAACTTATGATCTTCTGAGGAAGGCCAAATTTCTCAAGTAGAATTAAAAGGGCTTCTGGTAATACGTTGTCAAAAGCGCCGACCAGGTCCAAAAAGACGACTCCGGTGAATTTACGGTGTCTGTTAGCCAAATGGATATCAGTAATGAGAGTAGCCACATTATCCATGCAGGAGAGACCTCTACGAAATCCGAATTGATGTTGTGATAGTACCTTGTTGTTTTCGGCCCACCACTCAAGGCGTTTTAGGATTAATTTTTCAAAGATTTTATGTAGATTATTTGCGAGAGATATAGGTCTTAATGCCTTTTTCCCACCAGGTTTTGGAATAAAGACCGTGAAGTAGTTGTTCCATTGCGATGGATATGACCCTTTATTAAAAAAACAGTTGAAAATTTTGAGAATCAACTTGTGTAGATTTTCCGGCAGTTTCTTGATGATTTTGTTTGAAATTAGATCCGGACCCGGAGCTGACTTGGTTTTTAATGAAGAGACTGCAGCGTTGAATTCATATATAGAGAAGTTTTTTTGCATGAAAGCAGCGTCACAACTGGCTGTAAACGGAAGGTCAGAGAGTGCCCCGAGATCGCTGGTGGAAAGCGGCGGAACCGGAGTATGGGGAGCCAGTTTGTTAAAAGCAGCATGGAATTCCTCCTCGTCAATAACACGTTGACTGGAGTTACCAGATTTCTTATTTGAGAAGGCTCGAATATAAGACCATATTCTTGGAATCGGTGTATTGACATCCAGGGACGTACAAAATTCTCTGAAGGCAATCCTTTTCTTTCGGGAAAATTCCTTGGAAACAGTTTTACAGGTGTCCAAGTATTTTTTGAGATTGTCTGAGGTCGGAGACTTCTTAAATTCTCCGAAGACCAGACGCTTATGTTCAATTTTGGCGTAACAATCATCATCTCACCATGGAGCCGGAGCTTTTCTCCGATGTTTGTTAGCTTGAGAGCGTTTGGCACCTGCTCTTTCCAGGGCCTTATGAATGTTGTATATTAGTTCTTCATATGTAGAGTTGAGATTGTTCATATTGATTTGGAACGAATGAACAAATATGTTACATTCCTCTTGAAATGAAGTCCAATCAATTTTGGATATAATATATGAAGGTCTGCCAAACTCTGGTGTGTACGTCGTATCATTGATCTTGGTAACGATCGGGTAGTGATCACTACCGTAATTAGAGTCAAGTATCTGCCAAGAGCACTTTGTAGCTACGGATGGTGAAACCAGAGTAATGTCCAAAGAGGAGGCAGAAGACAAGTCAGCGGATGTCCAGGTTAGATTACCATTGTTGATGCAGATCAAGTTTGTACTAGAAATGGCAGTTTCAAGTTTTCTACCTTCGGTGTCAGGACCCGGAATAAGATTAGACCACAAGGTACTCTTCCCATTAAAGTCCCCACAGATAATTATAGGGTCAAAAGAATCGCAAAACTGAAGAATCTCTGTCCACGCTTGATTGTTTGTAAACGGATGTGAGCCTCCGCGGGGAGGACTATACAAGGAACATATATAAAGATGCTTATTTGACTCTAACCAGACTTTGCCCATCAACAGTTCAATGTTGTTAGTTGAACATATATTTCCAATACGAGTGTCTCTAATATATGAGAATCTTAGTTGCTTTCCAATCAGGATAGCCACTCCTCCTCCGTGTCTATTTCGGTTGTTCGTAAAAATGTCATAATTAGAGATTGATGGTAAAAAGACGTCATCAAGTCTTGTTTCGCATAGAGCAGCAATATCGATGCTATAAGTGTCCAGTAAGTGAATTAATTCAGGCATCCTTCTCGTTAGAGAACGACAATTCCACTGTATAATATTCACATTAGAAGAAGTCATGTATATAGATCAGTATTAAAGTGAAGTTATGAGCACAAAGCGTTGCTAAGCAGAGTATGGCCCATCTCCAGTAGCACCTCGCGATGGATCATTTTAATTGAGGAGAATTTATTTTGACAGGATTCAATCCACGTGTCAAGGAAGTCTGGATGAGGATTTAATGTCATTTGTTTAGGGGAGTCTAAATCAAAGGATGAAGGGGTAGAAATAGTGGTCGATGAGCCTTGAGGTGATAATGATTTGGGAGATGGAAATGCTGGTGTAACTTCAGCATTATTTTTATTTTTGTTAATATTTTTATTTTTATTTATACTGTTAGAAACAGGTACATGTTTAATTTGTTTAGGAGAGGAGAAAGATTTGGGGGAGGGGGAAAAAATTGGGAGAGAGGCGTTGGACATGGAGAGATGATGATGATGAGAATGAGAATGAGGGGAGGGGAGAGAGGGGAATTTGTCTTTTGTGGAAGAGTGAATAAAAGGGTGAGATGACTGCAAAGGAGGGGAATTTTTTTTGTTAAAGTTATAATTGTTGATATTTTTATTTTTTGTAACTGAGGAGAAGGAGGGATAACATGAAGCAGAAGAATAAGTGTTGTAATTAGTTAAAGGAGGATGATTAGCTTTGTTGGACGGAATGAATTCCAATAAGGAAGGGAGGGGTACCCCGTGAGGTGGACGAGTCCAACCCTGATCCACACCAGGGCCCGGATCCGGATCAATACCCTGCATGAGAGCGGTAGCCTCTTTTTGAGTGATGTTATTATAGGCCATGAGTTTTTTAGTCTCTCTTTGATTTGTAAAGACTGGACACTTATTGTCCGAAGCTTCGTGTTCAGTGTCGAGAAGCTTATGCCTCTTGCAAATATGCAACACGGAGAGACTTTATCGCAAGTATCTCCATTGTGTGAAGAAGAAAGCAAACCACATCTATGGCAAATAGCATTAGTGTCAGGAGTGCGACAAATTTTTATATTGTGTCCGTATCTCTGACATCTGTGACAGCGCACAACTCTTTGTATAAATGGTTCAAGAGTAATCCTTTTTCCCATGTATATAATACTAGGAGGAGGAGTAGCAGTTCTGAAACGAAAGATATATGAGTCTGTTTCAATATATTTTGTCTCCGATACGTTATCTTTATTTTTAGAGCGAATAGCTCTTTTCAGTCTTGAGACTTCAAAGGGAGGGATCCACATAACTTCCCAACCGGGAGGAGGGCGAACATTCGCCAGTATTTCCTCTGGTGAGTCGTCGTCGTCGATGCCTCTTACAACGAATTGTCTAATGACTTTAAAATTAGGAATATAAGCTAACCATTTTTCACCGGGAAAAGTAAGGTTAATACGTTTATTGAAAGATTCTCTCTCTCTATAAACCTGTTGGCAGTAGTTCCGTCAGCGAAAAGGACAGAAAATTTATTACTCCCGATAGTTTTAAGATCAAAAGCGTTTTTGAATGTCTCAATAAACTTTGTAATGCGCTTACCGAAGGCGATGATACCATAAGTACCTGAGGGGGATTTTTTTCCCTTCCTATTAGCTTTGTCTATATGATCATCCGCATTGTTGATGTCCATAGTGTCGGATGTTTTTTCAGATGTGCTTTTGCTGGAGTTGGCCGAGTTAGAGTTTGGATCAAACTGTTCCCCGGCTGAGCTCTGCACCTCGGAAGACGGAATGGACGAAGAGAGAGAAGAGGCGATTTTTTCAATATATACTATATAAGGCGCCTTAGAATCAAGCGTATATTTATTGTTTGTGCGGGGGTCCATCTTTTCAATGGAGAGCCTTTTAATCGCTTTTGGCAAGGACTCGTGAGAAGAGTCAGAAGACATTGGCCTTTTTGCCCGAATTATACTACGAATTTGAGATTCTACTGATTCAACAGGTTTGACTGGCTCAATATTAATCGGTAGTGAATGGTTGTTGTCAGGAAGAGGGGAGTTGATAGGATCTTCAGGCTCGTATTCCATTTTGACTATCAATCAGTCAAATCTAGGTGTCACAAGGATCCAAAAGTATGGAATATATGAAAATTCTTTCCAGAGAAAGACTTTTGATATGGCAATATGGCCGACCAACTGGTCGAAGCACAAAGGACACAATAAAAGTGTCGCTAAATAAGCGGAACGTCCGCTAAAAGCGGGAAGATTATACTTTCCCGATCACCACTAATGAGTTTACACTTACTATAATTAGTAACAAAATTCACAACTTAATTCAAAGGAAATAATCTTTGAAAATTCACGGATTGACGAATAATACGTATATCACAGAATAGCTCGCGCACCGGAAGTCCCGTCACTCCTGTCGACCCTTAAAGAAAGAAGAAGAGAAAAAGAAGAAGTCTCTCAGGCCTCTGTAGCGGGATTCAGTAACTTGCTATCGACAGTTTTCGGTATCGTTAACTAGCGACAGCCAATGGCAAGGACAATCCTGGTG